AGCCCGAGCCCCTCCCAGTCCTCATGAACGCGGCTCCGAGCTACCCCTCCCCTCCGTTCCCCTGAGCCCTCCATCCCCAAGGGGACACTGCCCAGTGCGAGTCGAGCCTCCCTGGAGGTTGGCCATATAGAGCTAGGGACCAGGCGGCAGACCTTACCACACAAGCTGAACGCACAGTGCGCCAGGCTTGCGTGCGGGTTGGAGGGGGTGCAGACGGGTGAAGGTCGGTGCCAATGAACAGGGCGAGGCACAGTGCGTGTGAAGCCATTTAACAGCGGCAAAGGGTGTCGACTGACGAGTGTATCGCAGAAAATCGATCATCGAGCGGTGGAAAAAAAAATGAGGCGATAGCTCAAACGTTGACAATGTTTCCTTTTGGTTGATGCCTAATTTTTTACGATTAAGAATGCATATATAGATCGTCATATTCGTGTATAATTTTTATTCATCCTATCTAATTTATTTATATCTATAATGCATTTACCAACTTCATTTGTGGTTTGTACGATACGTAAATGTCAAAGCTCTTTGATATACCTGTACCGTAGTTATGCATACAATTAGCGAATGATAAAGACATGTCAGTTTGTGTCATGTATAAATGTTAACAATACACGGATCTATGTTTGAAGGCACTGCTGGTGCAGCTGCTATCCGTTTAGGGCTTGACATCACGACATCACTTATATTATCCATAAGAAGCTTTCCGTCGATGAAGAACATGAATACTTCAGCACGCCAATACCACCGAACGAAACTGGAACACCTGCATGTTTGAACGTCAACGATTTTAATCCATATTTTCTTATCGACAAAACAGCATGCGACCTAATGCCATTCTCCCGATCTGGTTATTTGGAGGCGGAATTCGCCACAGCCACCACACACATTTTTCAGATTGGCATAATTATCTTATCCCTACACGCATTCGATGAAATCAATGTCACGGTGAAAGACCTCCATAATTTTAAGCAGAATCCAGCTAGAGCTTGACGAGAGCTCCGGTCCATTCAGTAGGCCGAGTTTCTGAGGGTGAGGGTGCTTCAGCAAGAGGTTCCACTTGAGCACGCGCCCCGCAGCGTAACGATTTCAACGAAGTCCGGTCGGTGTGAGGTTGACGACAGAGAACGAGAAAGGCCGGGGGGAGAGGGAGAGAGGGAGAGGAGAAAGAGGAAGGACAAGAGAAAAAGAGAAAAGGAGATACAGACAGGAAGCAAGTAAAGATAAAATCATAGGGTAGGAGAGGATTAGGAGTGTGGGGAATTAGACGAGGAAGATAAAGGGAAACGGATAGAGCACGAGAGAGGCAGATAGAGAATGGAGAGAGAGAGAGAGAGAGAGAGAGAGAGAGAGAGAGAGAGAGAGAGAGAGAGAGAGAGAGAGAGAGAGAGAGAGAGAGAGAGAGAGAGAGAGAGAGAGAGAGAGAGAGAGAAACAGAGAGAGAGAGAAACAGAGAGAGAAAGAGGTTAGATAAAAATAAATGAATTATTGTAAAATTTATCATCAAACAATAACACACCGAGGCTCCCGCGGAGCTCTGGCCATTGGACCGTCTCCACACATATCGCTGCCCGGCCCCGCTCTGTAGTGTACCATCCCCACCGGGAGCCGGGTGCCATCGTTTATCGCCCGGGGCTATTGGGGCGGCGCGACTGACCGATCCCGGCCTGTATACGGTGGTGGCCGGGTAATCGCCCAGAGACAGCCAGACGCCAGCTGGGCACAACAGCCGCGGGACAAATATCGCCGGCTTCTGCGTGGGGACAGGGCGGGAAGCGCCAGCATTTCAACCGCTTCATTGGAATGTCTTTACTTTTGAATCTAAAAAAAAATATGCATGACATATAGTTATGGAAGGTAGTTCCCAATGGGCTGACTCTCAATAAGATGCACTGCGCATAGGGGGAAATAAATAGATGCAGATTTAGATCATGTTGTGCGAATCAAGAGGCGAGTGTCGATTGGAACAATGTATGTTTCCTATTGTCATTTGATATGCCTGCATCTCCTGGCCCAATGCTCTCTAATAAACGCGTTTAATCGATTTTCGAAATTAGGAAGGCCCGGTCGATGCCCGCCAGCCGGCCGATCACGTGACCGCCCGAGGGATCGGGCCAGCGGCCGGAGTGGACACAGGAGGGCGTGTTCTTCTTATATAAAACGTCCGGGCAGGGTAGCAGTAGCGTTTCGCCCAACAAAACTGAGCAGTGGCAGGTCAGAAAAAACTGGTATCGTGGAGCAAACGCTTTGTTACAGAAATATTTATGACCTATTTAACAAAGAACGTTTCGGATATGCCGTGACTAAAACACCGTGCTGAATGCGTGAGCAGTAAAACAAATGAATAGCCCTTCACTCCGGTAAGCACGAGTCCACTAACGTCTCATTAAAGACTGGGCTGCGTGACGCTGGACGAGCGATTGCACTGGACGGTTTAGTGCGCTACTGTAACCTAGTTATATGTTATGTAACTTTTATTACAACATTTAACTAAAAGGACAGGACACGATGCTCGGCACCAAACACCAAGATTGGGCACTGGAGGAAGGTGTTTGTCGTCGTCCTCGCACTCCTCTCGCACTCGCCTCTTCGGTCGCGTAATGATGAGATGATGAGCGGTATAAAGTAATTCATTCAGCGTTCATGTTTTAAATGATCATGGTTTATTCATAAAGAACATTCATTTTATGTTATTGTCAACAAAATGAGGGATGCTATTGAATTGAAAAACCTGATGATGTTCATCCCGTCCGTCTAGGTAGGTAATCGTCGGGACGATATCGGGAAAAGACCCCTACGAGTTACAGACTAGCTATAGTTAGCTATAGCTATAGCTATAGCTATAGCTAATGCTGACTGCGATATATCCGTATCGTGTCACCCTGCGTGACAGACGGTACGGACGGTACTGCCCAGTACTGCCTAGTTCATAGATGATTAAATATTGCCAGACAAAACGCAGAGGACCCTTCAGCAAAAAACCCTTGTGCAAAAAAAAAACGAAATAAATGAAGCGTAAGCATGGAGTGGGTCAAAACTTTCTGAAAAGGTTATATCTTGTTCGGCAATTTTAAAGGGACCCTCCCACCTTAACATTAGTTTTGAGTTGAGATAGCCAAATTGGTGGCCATGGCCTGAAAATACCGGTTTGGGCACTCACAACATCGAAAAATGCTTTAATTCGGAGATATGGAATTTCAAACTTGCAGTTTTCGGATTCTAAGGGGCTAATGCATTGGTATGCCCCCTTAGAATTTGTGACGTCAGCGGAGATCTAACGATTTTTAAATCTTTTACTAAAACGTTTGGTAGCACGCGGTGGTATATGCTGCTTTGCGCGCAACAAATGCCGCACTTTCAAATAAAGTCGCTAGGAACAGCGGAGATCCCAAAAAGTAAACAAAAGTAAAAGTCTAATATCTTGAACACCGGTGAATATTTTTCGATGAAATTTGGTAGATATTCGTTTTCGCTCTTTCTGAACCGAGCGACATCACTTTCATGCCAATTCATTAACTTTTTTGAAGGTGGGAGGGTCCCTTTAAGTACCTACGTACTACGTACGGGAAATGTCATGTCTCATCGGTCAGGCACTCGGCCTGATTCGAGAACGAGCCGGGGGTTGAGAGCATCCGCCTAAAGATGAGGTTCAAGAAGTTAGCTGACTGGCGTTTTCAATTAGAAAAAGGAACAGAATATCATGTCTGATACCATAACATTATAGGAAAGCTGACACCTAAGCAGATTTGAGGCCGATGAAATCATTTAAACGGTATAGGTCATCCCACTCAGCAACCCGTTAGCCAGACTCCGACAGGTCGGTCGGGACGGGACACACCCATATGGCGGCCGTGTCGCTCTGACTCACGACGCAATGTCAGCAATGTCTGACAGGTCGACACGGCTTTGTTTCACGTCGTGTGTGGCGTGCTCCAGTATTCACAATTCCTCGAATACCGGCCGGCCGGTGGCGACGACGACGTTTCGCCGCGGCCGGGCCTGACCGTTCCGAGAACCATTTGACACCCACGGTTCACTGGGGTGGTTGCCAAGTAGGGACTAGGGGATATAAGTGGTTACTATAGCGCCAATTGACTGGACGACGAATTTGGTTAGTTTCTGGCAAGGCCTTAGCAGTACGGGACTGAGAGTGGTTTATGTTATGGGAACTGGGGTAGTTAGTCAGGTGACTAACTACCCCAGGTATATTGATCGGTTAATTAGATGACTACTGACTCGTCGATTACCATCAGGAGGACTGGGGTGGTTGCTGTTAGGGTACTGGGACAACTGGTCAAAGGACTGGAACGGGCTAGCCAGGGACAAGTGGTTACAGTCGAGGGAGTAGTGTGACCGACTGCCGACAGCCAGGTCCCTCGACCATGCCCTACCTTGTCAACCTGCGCCAGCAGCTCTGTCAGTCATGTGGATCCATAGCGGAATTCCCGGAACGCCAATGCAAATATGATGTAAGGAATACCGGCTAGAAAGACCCGCAAATGAAACCTTTGTCAGCGTTTCCACGAAAACGATTGGCATTGCATACATTTTCGACAGGTAAAGCGTGACCTAGCACTTTTTGAGGTCCATTCGGAAGAGCAGTATTCTGAGGCATTCGCATTTCGTAAATCAAAATGCCTTGTATGAAGAACGGACCTGGACCTATCCATAAGTTACGCCAGCCGTCACCCAACCTTCGCCGAACAGCAGAGTTAGGGGTCTGTGGGTTTGGTTTATATTATACCCCTCCCTCAAGCCGTCTTAAAAGAGGCAGTTGCACCAGGCACCAGTCAGGGCCGGTTACCCAAGTGTGAATCAGTGATAGTGACGAAGCCAGCGACTACGCCAGACGTGGACCCCTCGGTTTTGTATGTGCCCATGCGATGCACCGCTGTTGCAGAATTGATACGCGCTAACCATAGGCACTGCGTTTTCTGAAACCTCTGAACACTGAAATACTGCGGATTTCCGCATGTGCTCCCTACATATTCAAAACGTTCTCATTTGGAGAAGTGTATTTCTCGAGCACTTCACAACACACTGTGGTGTCGTAACAGCCGTAATATCTGAGCTATTACACCAGTTGACAACCGAGGCAATGGCTGCGCACCAGTATAACTAACTTCAATGCCAGCTTTTCTTCGGAATCTCTGCTCACGATTTACGCTGGAAGCGCGCCGCATGCCGATAATTTCACGAGTCATCTACGAGGAATAACCCAAAACTGATGCCTGATCGCGTACCATGTAAGAAATTCACTTACTTAAGCTCCACCTAGGCACAACGGAACATTCTAAGTCTAACCAAACTTTGTAAATGACGTGTATGGACTATGGAGTCACAGCTCCGATTAGGGGTTCAGGTCTGACCACTGTAGTACGCCGTCCCTGGTTTCCTCGCCCCGCTGGTAAAAGGCTGGAAATGGAAAGGGATCCCTTATGCATTCCTGACTCTTCCAAGTGTAACTGCTTTAACATAACTGGGCGAAGGTCTTTCCGGAAAAGGAGGGAACTAACGAACAAACGAAACAACATTTCGATTATTCTCAGTAATCTGTATTATTTGATGCCTATATATAATGCGGGCGAACCGAGCACGCAAGGCCTTGGAAAGCGGAACGGGTATTGTCACGAGCATGTAGTACAAAATGGTACCGACCGCTGCGCCGGGCTGCGCTGCCGGACCCGCCTGCCATTCGCCGTCACCTTCGTCGTCTAGCTGTCCCCTGACGAGGGCGGGGGCGGCGGCGGCGGCTGGTTGCCGCCCATCTGCTGCCTGAGCTGCTCGATCAGCTCCGGGTTGGAGGCTCGCATCTGCTCGGCTAGCCGCTGGCCCCTACCGGAGAGCGGCGGTAAAACAGTGTCAGAGTGGTATCGATACGGCACACGAACAGCGATGTTTGTAAAATAGTAGCCGCTCCACTTTCGACCATAAAACGTGTTTTAGGGGATTGAAGAAAAGACCGTTTACCCTTCGAGTGTCATGCTGAGCAATTCCTAATCCCTGTCATCCGCCCAAGAATAAGGATGGCACGTTCTGCTAGGCTGAGCTCCATCGGGCCTGTAACGACTGCTGCCACCTACCGAGAACCATCAGATAATCCAACCGAGCTCAAACCATACGCTAGTCGGCTCAGCCAGTAAACACAATAGGTAGCTTACTTATTTATCGAATTACAAACAATCAACCAGACACCCGAATACAGTAAACGCATTTAGAGGCACATAATGCAAGTTACTTTCCAACATGTCGTGCCCGGTTAGAATCGGCCAGTTACTGCCCCACCCCTCGTCGGTATGCCCGTTAAAATCGCCCAGTTACAGTTCCATCCCCCTGTCGGTACTCACGCCTGTAGGAGTGCCTCGAAGCCACCGGCGCCTCCTGCCCCGGCCCCCGCTCCGGCTCCGGGCGGTACGCCGGCTCCGGGCGGCCCTCCGGCCCCGCCGCCCATCAAGTTGTTCATCATCTGCTGCATGTTGGGGTCCTGCATCATCTGCGCGGCCACGTTCATCATGGCCGGGTTGTTCAGCATGGCCTCCAGGTTGAGTCCGCCCATGTTGGCAATGTTACCGAACCCACCGGGCAGGCCGCCCAGGCCCGGCGCGCCGCCGGCCGCTGCCGACACACGATACAGCAGCGTTAGAGCAGAGCGAAACAGGGAAAACACATAATTTGTCCAGAGCTTTGACATCATGGGGGACAAACTGGGCAGTTGAATTTATGGAATTCACGCAGACTACAACATTTTCGGTCCTTTTAGGGTATTCCGAGTGTCACCAACCACCCATCCCTGATCCACGATCCACCCCAGACAGGGTCACATCCATGAGCTCCATCAGTTCCCAGCCCACCTGTTATCGTGTCGCCCATCCGCGCCTCGATCACCCGCAGGTTGTTCTGATAGCTTTCATTGGTCGGGTCCAGCTCCAGAGCCTTCTTAATCTGCGCCTTGGCCTCATCGAACCGGTTCAAACCGGCATACGCCAGCCTGCCGATGGGGTACAAGTCAGAGGGGTGCTAAACACAGCGTGGGTCATTCAGCTGGGAAGTCCGGCTTACATACGCTGACAATTCTAGGATACAACAAACGAATTAAACACAAAACTGTGGACAGACTCAAGACGTCTAACCTGGCAAACGGCTAGCCTGGCATCTGCCGACCGTTTCATAGTTCATTTTTCACCATCAATCAAAACGTCTAGCGACATGTCACATCATCAACGGCCCCTTCCTATGTCATCACATACCCCACGTCCGTTCATCCCGTTCCTTTAAGTCATTATCAACGGTCATCTATCAACACGTCCCTATCCCTTCCGTCCAACGGTAATCTACCAGCACATCCCTACCCCTTCCGTCCGTTCGTCCAATAATCACAACTGTCCTTTACGATATCACGAGCGATTGTGTATCTTCAAACCCCTTGACCCACTACAATACCGCATCACGCCCCACCCGCGACTACTCACGCCAGCCGGCTGTAGGCCTTTGTGTAGGTGGGGTCGATCTGCAGCGCGCGCTGGGCGTCCTCCACGGCCGCCAGGTAGTTACCCAGCTTGGTGTACGCCGCTGCCCGGTTGCTGAAGTACGCTGCGTTGTTGCCGTCGTGCTCGATCGCCTGTGGAGAGTGGCGTTTGAGGTGTGGTAAATATTAAGATAAGGGTGACTAAAATGGAAAGTCAAGGACTCGAGAACGCAAAGCGAATCATTGCAGATAAAGTGGCTTGGTGGGTGAGACCAATTAGACCACTATCAGAACTACTATGCATTACAAACCTATCCGCCAAGCCTGACCAACAAACCACAGACTAAGTGTACTGCCAGACCCATCCAGCAGGCTCCATCATCAGACCACCCAACAGTCTGAGCGAACTATCAGACCCCCCAGACCCCACCAGCACGACAGACTCCACTTATCCACCATACCACCGACCTGTGTGTACTTGTCGACCGCCTCGTGCAGACGCTCCTCCCGGACGGCGATGTTGCCCTCGTTCTTCAGCGCCTCGGCTCGCTCCTTCTGTTCGGCGGTGGCCTCCGGAGCGCGCGGGGCGGGCTCCGGGGCCGCGGTGGCCGCCGTGACACCGGCGGCAGACGCCTGAGGCGAGCGCAGACAGCGGAGTGTTAGTGTCAAAAGGAGAACCGGCGATGACTTTCAAGTTCGCTATAACGTATGAAATGAAAGGACACAACTTTATAATTCCTCCGACCTATCACAAAGCACCCTCACCAACCATCCGACGCTGCGACTCATCCACTCCACCCTGACCCGTCGTTCAATGGCCTCACTCACCATCCTTACACAATGACCTCACCCACATACAGCGTTCAAATATGACCTCACTTCCGGCCGCGCACCATTCGACGGCTCGACGCCCCGACTCACAATCCGGCGCCTCAACCCATCGTTCGACATCTACACCCATTATCCCTGGCCCACCGTCCGACGCCCGGTCAACCCACCGTTTGTTTGAGTCCATCTGCAAAGATCTGCGGCAGCGTCTTGTCGACGCTCAGGTGTGTGTCATTGGCGCTGAGGCCGAACGACGTCTCCAAACACTGAACGGCCACCTCCAGACTCTCCTGGGGAATGGAGGGGGCACACAGAGGTCAGCTCACGTCGGGTCAGGTCAAGGCAAGGCTAGGTCGGGTCAGGCTAGGTCGTGTAAGGCCAGCTCGGGTAAGGTCAGGTCGGGCCAGGCTGGGTTGAGCCCAAGTGCGAAAGTGAGCAATGAGCATACGGCATCCCATAAAGCGGTCGGTGAAAACAGGAAAGGGAATGTAAACACAGCGTCTAATTTCAGCCTCAAGAGCCTACTAAACAACGTTCCCTTTGTATACAGAATGAATGGATCCGACCATCCCTTTCTCAGCATTGCACGTATATCCCGCAGCTGACTGCTGTCATACACACTACACAGCAGACAACTTCCGTATCCGGAGTAAGGGATTAGTTCCCGGCGAAAGCGGAGACGGTAAAGATCGCCTCTCATCTGCCTCTCCATTCTCCGACCGGTACATTCTACCATCGTCAGTCCCCATCACTCAGTCATCGAGTAGAAAGCGGTGGCGCAATTTTCCCCCATTGTTATGCGAACTTGTGAACATGGATTCCAAGCACAATTGAATCGGTTTGTTTTTGCTAGACCCAGTTAGACCATACCAGACACATCCATGGGCATGGGGAGGGGTTTGTAGCTGTTAAACTATAGATTCGAATTTTACATCCTGGAAACAAGGTGCTAATCGGAACTCTCACGGGCCACGGCTTCACGAGGGTGGGGGTATAGAGACGACTCAAAAAGCGCGAAAAGTTGCCTTCACTATCATTTTAATGTGCCGAAAGTGTAAAGTTCTGATATAAAGCAAGCGGACTGCGGAAACCGTACAAACCCCGAGCACAGCCGTTGCCTAGCACCAATAGTTACTCATCCCCTGGGAAAGTCTCTCCCACTCGGGGAGGCCACACCGGCGAAACCTTCAGCACGCGCCGGCTCGCGGCGAAACCAGCCCCGGGGCACGTGGCTGGGCCCGCGCGGCGCCGGTAGGTCGCCACGAAACGGCCCCACAACACGAGAGAGCGAGAGTGCATCTGCTGGGCGTGGGCGAAGGGTGAGCGGCGCGGCGCGGCGCGGCGCAGTGCGGGCCAGGTAACGGTGAACGGTGCGCCGCGCAGTCAGCGCGCGGAGCTCCGGCAGTGGACGGTGTGCGCGAGCAGGCGTCATGACAGCGGTAGTGGTGCTATGGGTGGCAGCGATGGCCATTGGTTGGTCGGTGGACGCACAGCCAGGTAGGCGGGACGAATGGGTCCTGGGTGACCTTACTGACCCAGTAGATAACAGACACCATCGCCATAGCCACTGGCGCTGATGATTAGCTATGGTAGCGTCGTGAGTTCCTGTCCGACCATAATGCGTAGACATAAACATTTACAGATCCTTATCAGGCTTATAGACATTTATCAGCAACACAAAAAAGTCTGGAATCGTACGCACTTCAACTGCAGATCTTAGTCGGTTGATTGCCGGAACGCAGTCTTACTACCGCCTATACTGACGGCGCGTTGTCAATTTAACGTCACTGCGTACCGCACATCCCCATGGAGAGAGCACCATGTGGGTTGTGTGCACACATGACAGACTTTCTAACGTGACTCGCATCGTATCCAAGATCGTGAGAACGACAGTGACCTCAAAGGATAAATAGCATAATCAAATGTGAAAACACACTGCAAGAAACGCGACCAACCTCTCGTTTGACGCGACCCGATACCAAGAAGTCAATGAAATAACGTCGGAAGCGAAAACCTCATTATGTGTCAAAGTAAATGTAGGGGAATCTTACGATGTTGTCCATGCTCAACAACAGATACCAACCTACAAAACGGCAAACGTATGACACCGCAGTGCCTGTGCTGTCTGACATTTGATCTATCGTTCCATAACATACCGCGCCGTGCCGGCGGCGCTAATGAAAGCGACCGATGTGACCCCGGCATTCCCATCACCCATATCTACATAAATCAGCGAAGGAGACACTAGACAACAGTCATAATCCACACAATCATTGTTGAATATTACTGGCGTTCAGTCAATAGCTTTCCTTCCTCAGAAAACGGAGAGTAGGCGATCGATTTTGACAGACTATTATGACAGCCAAAAATGACAGCCATCAACCAAAAATTTATGTTGCGGTTCATCCCTTTCAGCATGCTATGCTGACGATAAAGATAGTAGGCAAACTCTGTTTTCTAGATGCGCCGTGAATGCTGCAATGGATGCTTTCGGCCAGGTGCACCGAAGCGCGTCAGCTGCAGATTCCAATAGACTTTCTATTCTTTCTACCGGGAGAAGCTGAGCCATGCCAATCAGAACACCCTGGAAGATGGCGAGCTTTCGCTTTCATGCAGCACTACAATTTCACGATAGTCTTGTAAGCATTCCACAGACCTCTTTCGCACTCCCCGATACACACCTAAGAGTAACGGTGAGCAGTTACGTTACTGACCGAGTTATGTCCATTGATGACTGACCCTGCCACCCCTGACCACGTCTCCCCCAACCCGGTTTACGACCCCCTCACCGTTCTGACCCCACTCACCGGCCACTCGTCCACCCTCTTCTGTCAACTGCCCGTAATACATTTTGCCCCATTTACATGTTCTCATCCCGTCTGCTCCTAGCAGCTGCACCGCCTACCAGGCCCTGAAACCCTTCCCCACCTCACTCCCAAACAAAATATGACCTCAACCACCCGGCACCTCTGACCAGACGAGTAACATAACCTCCCTCTTTACAGCCGCACCACACACGGACAGCCTGACAGGCGTGGCCGGCGAGGCGACGGTGCTGCCGTGCGGCGGCGACCCGCTGCGGGCCGACCCGGCCGCGGTCACCTGGCACCGTCGGCCGAAAGGTGGCAGCACTGTGCCGGCCGTCGGCGCCGGGTTCCAACTGAGGGGCGACGGCAGCCTGTGGCTGGCCCGACTGGAGCCCGACCACGAGGGCAGGTTCACCTGTACAGACGCCACGACAGACCGGCTGATCGCGGTGTATGACCTAAAGGTGAGCAGGAGGCGGACGGGGCATACGGTGGCAAAATGGCTAAACGAAACTGCTAGGTACTGAGTTCAGAATCTCATTCCTCTTTGACTAAGGAATAACTGAAGTGACTTCAAAAAGACAAGCCTTATCTGTCTGTGTCTCGTCACGTAAGAAAACACAGATGACGCAAAGATAAAGGCGATAAAACTTGAAACATTCGCAAATGTTTTTTTTTTCAGCAGAACCTTCACAAACACTTGAAGTGAGAGGCCACAAAACTGAATGCCGTGTCTCATCTCTGTTTACCAGGTTCGCAAGCCCAGCGTAATCCGGATAGAATCAAATGCCGAGTCGGGCCCGCTCTCCGAGGGTGACACGTTCCGTCTCACGTGCCGCGTGCTGACCGACAGCGCCTCCCACGCCGCCACCATGCTCGTGTGGCGCGACGACACGCTCGTGGCGCCCGACGACCCGCGCGTCACGCTCCGTACGCAGCGCACGCGTAACGTCTGGCAACTGAGCATTGCCAACGTGACGCGTGCTGACGCCGGCAGGTGAGCACGGTGCATCAGTGGGAGGAGGGCAGCCAAAGGCGCAGGACATGGAACTCGGTTGTTTTTCGTCCAGTAGACACTTAATGCAGGTAACGCAAATGCGAGGACGCCCTCCTCTAGACAGTTAACGCAAGTTGACCTTAATCCTTAACCTTCCGTCTTTCTAATGTTCAATGTAAAAGATCAGCTTCTGGTGTATTCAAATCTCTTGCAACCATGCTCACTCTTGCATTTCTCTTCCCAGCTACATCTGCCGAGCCAAAACCTACTTCGACCGCGCCGAGGCCTCAGCGCAGCTGATGGTGGCGCCGCGCGTGGCGGCCGACTGTACTAGCAGTTCGGCCGAGTTGCGCTGGAGCGCCGACGCGCCGTCACCGGGCGGGTTCATCGTGCGTATGACGGTGGGCGGAGCGGTGGCAGACGAGGCGCTCGTCCCGGCCGATATGCGCTCTGTGGACGTGTCAGACCTGGAGCCCGGCTCGCAAGTGCGCTTCGAGGTGAAACCTGCCGAGGAGGGAGCCGTCGAGGGCACGGCCTCGTGTTTCGTGCCGCCGGAAACGGCCGAGGCGCCGCCAGAGAACGACACGTAGACGACCGAGGTGGCGCCACCGCGGCGCTGGCTCATTGTTGACCTTTGTTGCTAGATGTATAAGGTTGGCGAAAGGTTGCGTTGCTGTTTGTTATTTGTTGTTGATAAGATGAATTGACAAAACCCAAATGTTGTCAGTTATGGCATGTGTGAAGCTAGCTGCTAGAACACTGAAGCTTAGAAATATGAATAAATGGTGGATTTATTTAATATTTTTATGATTAAGAGGCTTGCATCCAATTAATACATTCCTTAAATCCAGGCATATAGGCCAGGTAAGCAGAGGCTGCCACTCTAATGTCTATAAGGCATGTCATACAAGCATTCATAAAAGATAAATACCTTATAAATGCTTGCAAAGTGCAAACATCATTCATTCTTTGTCCACTCAACCAACTTCTAGAAACCACTTCCTGAATGACAACTATTTCATAGAGAATGAAGGGCAGCAGTAGCACAAAGGCTGCATTTCCCTGAGGTATATAATAGATAATGTTAGACTGTTTCAAGCAGATACAACTAAAAATTGGGGAGTAATAAGTTAGCTTAATAGCACAAGCAAGACCAACTCAGTTACACCTTACAAGAGCTCCATAATTTGGATGATATTGTGACGTGCTGGATCAGGGCATGTACATATTTGGTTTACTGGGTTTGGTGTCTCGTCTGCTCGCGACGGCATGTTGCGTCCTCGTCTGCTCGCGACGGCATGTTGTGTTGTTGTGTGTGTGTTGCATGTTGTGCATGGTTGTGTTCCGTGGTGGCTGCCGCATGACCTGCTATGCAGCGTGCAATGTGCATGGAGTTGCTTGGAGTTGCTAACGGTTTTGCTTGTTGTGTGCGTGTGTTCGCAGGCCTACTTCCTGAAGAATTAATAAACTGAAAAGGCGTCTGCTGGTGTATCGGACCCGTCACACTGGTGGCAGCGGTGGCGACAGCAGGCGCTGGTGGCAACAAAGCTCATGATCAAGCCTGAAACGGACAGTGATTTTCTTCAGGAAGAGATAAAGGCGTACGCGATGGCACCTGGCGGCAGCAAGGCGGTGCGACCAGCTGATTTTGATGGCAGTGGCAGTGTGCGTCGGTTTCTTCATAAATTTGAACAATGTGCAGGCATCAATGAATGGAGAGATGATGCTACGAAGCTGGCACAGTTGTCTGTTTCCTTGGCTGGTAAAGCATATGACTTTTTTATGCACCTCCCTGCAGAGCAAAAGAGTAGATATGACAAGTTGTACAAGGCGCTCATGGATGAATATGATTCTCCAGGACTCCAGAGTGACTATGCGCTGCAGCTCAGTTCTGCTCGAAGGAAGTCTGGACAAAGCACAGCAGATTTCATGCACGAGTTGGAGGAGCTTGCTGAGCGAGCGTATCCGGACTGGGATGTGGTACCGCGAGAGGGCGTAGTGCGAGCCACCTTCATCAATGGGCTAGATGATGACTTGCGTATGGCATTGATGCTTCAGGCACCCGAGCAAGAACGGGGTTCCCTTGCAGATCTGGAACGCAGCGCACGCCGGATTGAGCAAGTTCAGCTCTCCCGTCGGCAGGCCTCAGTGGGACGGGTGGAGACCACTCCGTCTGTTGATGCTCAGGTCGCGGAGCTTCGAGACCAGGTGTCCGCGGTGGCGGCGTCTATGGCGGATCTTCAAGCACATGTCGGGCGGCTGACCCTCCCTGGCCGTGGGAGTTTTCGCCCTCGTGGTGGTGGAGGTGGCTTCGGTGGACACGGGGAACGCGTCGGTCGTGGCAGCTATGGGGGTGCTGCTCGTGGCCCAGGTGCAAATCGCGGCGGTGGTGGAAGGGGATCTGGTGCTCAATGCTATCGCTGTGGTGAAGTGGGACATATGGCGCGTGAGTGTCCTGTTAACTCTGCAGGTGGGGAGGAAGGAGCCGTTTTTCAATGTTATCGGTGTGGTCAGATGGGGCACATAGCGCGTGGGTGTCGTGTTAAGTTGGATTTTTAGGTGCCCACCACCAGTCTTCTCCCGACAGTTTGTTGGTGGGCACGACGTCCTATGTTACTCCAAGTGGTCGGGCTGTGTATGTCAGGGGCTCTGTGCAGAACGAATCGGTAGTATGGTTGCTGGACACGGGAGCGGAATGCACGCTGGTTGGGTCGAGTGTTCCCGGTGTACGTGAGCTGCGGCGTTGTCTTTCGCAGCAGCAGCCAGTGACGATAGACGGTAAGCCCTTGTCCTGTGAGGCCCGAGTACTGGCAGATATATGTATTGGTTCTTCAGTTCTCCTGCAACACCCTGTTTATGTGGTGCCGTCTATGAACACGCAATGTTTGATCGGAACCGATGCGATGAGACGCTTGGGAGCAACTGTTACCATTGACTGGACGTCGGGCAGAGTAACCATAGGAAGTCAAGATGTAACATGTTCATCTCCGACCCCCTCCCAAGGAGAAGCAGAACCGCGATGTGCACGAGTGAGACTGACTCGCGAGGTCGTTCTGCCTGGGCGGCATGAGATTGTTGTAAGGGGAGTCGTAGAAGCTGCTATTCCCGTCCAGGAAGAGGTCATGTATAGCCCAGACCCTACGTTTGAAGAAGCCAACGATGTAGTGGGAGCCCGGGTACTGGACGTGATGCGAGAAGGGCAGGAGATCGCTGTTCGGCTCGTGAATCCGGGAGAAGGACCTGTCAAGCTGCACCAGGGGACCACGCTGGGGCACGTCGAACGTGTCGCGCGAGTTCATGAGTCCCTGGCTCAGAACGTCAGGAGTGTTCGGGAATCAGTCGGAAAAAAGTCGGAAGAAGTGAAACGGAAAATGGAGACGCTTGTTGAGAGGCTGGTCACTGACTCTGATCTGACGTCACGAGAAGAGCAGTGTCAGGCTAAGAAGCTACTTCACGACTACCAAGACAGATTCCCAGCGGATGGACGTCTCGGACGGTCTGGAATTGTGAAGCATGAAATTCGGACAGAGGGTATGCCTCCAAGAGCAGCGCAACCAACGAGAGTGGACCACCACACCCGTCAGCGGCTGTACGACATGGTAGAGGACATGTTGAGCAAAGACGTCATCAGGCCGAGTACGTCTCCGTACGCGGCACGAGTGGTTCCGGTTGAGAAAAAGGACGGATCCATTCGGTTCTGCATTGACTATCGTCGGTTGAACGCAGACACAATCAGCGATGCTTTTCCTCTGCCAAGGATTGATGACTGCTTGGACGCCCTCTCTGGGGCCCAGTGGTTTCACGTACTGGACCTCAAAAGTGGGTATTGGCAGCAAGAAGTAGAGGAACGGGACAAACACAAGACAGCATTTACCACTCACAAGGGCCTCTTCGAATTCAATGTCACTTCAATGGGCCTCAAGGGAGCACCAGCTTCCTTCCAGCGGCTGATGATGGTGGCGTTGACGGGAATGGTATGGAACATCTGCCTGGTATATCTTGATGATATAATCGTGTTCGGAGGCAGCTTCGGCGAATCATTGCAGAGACTCGAGGACGTCCTACAGGCCCTTCGTTCTGCCAACCTGACATTGAACCCTGAAAAGTGTCGGCTGTTTCGAAAGAAAGTTCAGTTTCTGGGTCATGTCGTCAGTGGAGAAGGTGTTTCGCCTGACCCCGCGAAGGTTTCGGCCGTAAAACACTTCCCGACGCCTTCTTCAGTCAAGGAGACAAGAGAATTCCTTGGACTTGCCTCGTACTTCCGACGCTTCATTCCGCAGTTCGCAGACGTGGCGAAACCTCTACACCGGCTTCTAGAGGGATGTGCACGATTCGTCTGGACGGAGGAATGCGACGCTGCGTTCCGACAGCTCAAGGAGAAGCTGACATCTGCACCTGTGCTGTGCTACCCGAACTTCAACGCTCCTTTTATCTTGACCACGGACGCCAGTGAAGTAGGGATTGGAGCGGTACTGACACAGGAAGAAGGAGGCCAGGAGCGAGTGGTGGCGTACGCCAGTCGCAGCCTCTCGAAAACTGAAAGGAAGTTCTCGGCGACCGAACGGGAGTGCCTTGGCCTTGTGTGGGCCACTCGACGATTCCGTGTGTACCTGCATGGACGCCGATTTGTTTTGCGGACGGACCACAACCCCTTGGTGCATCTCCGCAAAAGTAAGGATCCACGAGGCAAGCTTGCTCGCTGGATACTTGAATTGGAGGCGCTCGACTACGACCTCCAGTACAGGCCGGGGCCGACACTTCCACACGCGGACGCTCTCTCGCGTGGCCCAGTGGAAGGGACAGACAGCGAGGTCAATGCTCCGGTATTTGCAGTGACGTTGGATGATGACTACGGGATGGCGCTGGCCCAACGTGATGATCGGGACATAGCAGTAGTCATGGAGCTGGTGAGAACGGGGAAGAGATGTCCCTCTGATGCATCTTCGGCGGTGAAGCACTACATGTCGCAGCGAAACAGACTGAAGGTCGACGGACAGGGCCGGCTGGTATGCGTGTACAAGCGCCACGCGACGGAACACTTGCAAGTGGTTGTTCCCCGATCTCTAACTGAGGAGGTCCTCGCGATGTGTCATGACGATCCCGCCTCGGGTCACCTAGGAGTCACAAAAACAGTGGAAAAGATCAGAGAGAGGTTCTATTGGAGTACAATGTTCAAGGATGTGAGAACGTGGATTCGGACGTGCCGTCTTTGTGCGATGAAGAAGAGTCTTCCTGCTCCTGGGAGGGCGCCTTTCGGTGAAATGCCAAAACCAGTGAGACCGTGGCAGTGGATTTCCATGGACATCGCGGGTCCCTTCCCGCGGACTAATCGAGGAAATCGTTTCATCCTTGTCGTGACGTGCGGGTTTTCCAAGTGGACAGAGGCTTTTGCACTGGCTGACCAGCGGACGGACACGGTGGCCAAGATCTTGGTGGAGGAGTTGATTTGTCGCCATGGCTGCCCGGAGGTCATTCATTCGGACCAGGGAAGAAATTTCGAAGCATCGCTGATCCAGGAGATCTGCCAGCGTCTGCATATAAAAAAGTCGAGGACGACGCCGTATCACGCGCAAGGAAACGGACAAACGGAGCGTTTCAACCACACGTTGTGCACAATGCTGTCCATGTATGTTTCACAAGATCAGCGAGACTGGGACGACAAGCTGCCGTTCGTGATGATGGCATACCGAACAAGCGCGAATGAAACTACAAAAGAGACGCCGTTCTACCTCTTCTATGGTCGACAACCACGACTGCCGGTGGATGTTGCGTGCGGTGGAGGCTCTCCAGGAGCCGGCAATGACAGGGAGAGTTACGCTCAGAAAGTGACGCAAGCTTGGTCTCGAGCACAAAGCAGGGCACGTGAGAACATCGCGAAAGAAGCGCAGAAACGAAGAGAGCGGCAATCAAGCGGTGTGCGGCAATTCTTTTACAAGGTTGGGGATTGGGTTTGGCTGTTCAAACCAGTTAGATACCCGGGCCGCTCACCGAAGCTTCAAAGACCGTGGCATGGGCCGTACCAAGTGGTAGCCGTTCTGCAGGATGGCTTGACTTACAGAATCAAGCATGTAGACAAGCACAGGTACCGGCAGGTGGTTCACCATGACAGGCTGAAACCCTGCCACAGTCGAGATGGTGAAAGACATGCTGACAGGCCTGAAGTCGATGTTAACCATCATGACCGGAGGGATAGAGATGATGTGTATCAGAGGGACCGGCAGGATCAGACGCCGAATGAAGGAGAATTTCAACAACCCGACAGCGAAGACGAGTCAGAAGCTGTTTCTGTGGAAGATTCACATGGCAGGGCCGAAGAGGAGGTTTCACGTCGGGAAGATGGAAACAGCGGTGCCGACTTCGAATCAGGACAGGCAGCGAGCTCGGAGGTGACCCCTGGCCCGTTGGATAATCCTCCATTGTTGGATAGGGAGCCGGTGGGGTGCGCAACGCGCACAGAGCAACAGTTGGGACTCAGGCGGCGAAGTACAAGGACAAGGAGGGCCCCCGATAGGCTGGATTTGTGAGGGGAGGAATGTGACGTGCTGGATCAGGGCATGTACATATTTGGTTTACTGGGTTTGGTGTCTCGTCTGCTCGCGACGGCATGTTGCGTCCTCGTCTGCTCGCGACGGCATGTTGTGTTGTTGTGTGTGTGTTGCATGTTGTGCATGGTTGTGTTCCGTGGTGGCTGCCGCATGACCTGCTATGCAGCGTGCAATGTGCATGGAGTTGCTTGGAGTTGCTAACGGTTTTGCTTGTTGTGTGCGTGTGTTCGCAGGCCTACTTCCTGAAGAATTAATAAACTGGAAAGGCGTCTGCTGGTGTATCGGACCCGTCACAATATACACCTCAAGATTGCAGACCCATGGAAGGTTTAGATGCCAGATAACAAGGGTAAATCTTCATTCTTCACTTTCCAGCTCCCTGTCAATTATTTTCAGATGTCTGGGCCAAGAGCCAAACAGGTATAATCTGTAGATAGGAAGGTAGGTAACCACATTGTTGCCCACCCTCAAAACTTCAACAGAAGTATCTCTAAGCAGGCCAATTCCAACATGGTGAGCCCAGCCCCCAAGCATTAAAATAAGGTCACAGCCACCTTTGCAATTGAGTTACAGGAAGAAGGACACCATAATAAAACCATTTTATGGTACAATACAAAGCGATTTAAAATGTTAGCTATTTCAACAAGTAACAACATGAGTACCTAATTCAAATTACAAGTGCTGGGAAAATAATGATAAGAAACCAAACTTACCTGACTGTCTTGTGACAAACTGCCATCATGAAGCTGGGCGTTCAAGAACTGAATAATTGAATAGACTATTTTCTTAGTATCAGACATCACAGCAGCCAATTCCAACTCAACCTTAGAGGGTTAAATTCCACAAAGTCAAAGTTGAAGTGTTTCTGAGCAGGGGGCACACTTGCACTGGCCCTCCTCTAGTATTATTTCAAGGGCTTCACTTATCAGAACGATCAGAATCTGATGACTCGACTTCAGTAGGCATTTAGCTTATCAAAAGCTGCAACTTCCTCTCTGTCCTCCGAGATATGAAAAGAAACAAGAAAATTTCCTTGACCGACACGCGATCGTCACAACTCAACGTCATGCTTAGGATACGTAAGCCATAACAAAAAGCAATTGTTTTTTTAATGACGTCATTTTAAGCTTTTTCCCACAAATAAGCTGAAATTGTCAAAATCAGTTGCTAAAAGTTTCCCAAATAAATCCCATGTCTTACATATATCAAAAAACGCGCAATTCTTATTATTTTCTAAGATATTCAAACAGGCCAAAGAAAATAATTTTTACTAAAAATAAGTGTTGTTCTTTGCAAATTATTTTTTCAAAGGGTCAAATAAATCAAATTTTAATTTTCTATGTAATATAATCTTTTAAAGCCAAGTACTGCATGTTTTGTGAACATTACGTCATTAGACAATATTTTTTAACAATAATACAACAATTGATTTTATGAATCGTTGACAATGCGCCATATATGTCATAAACACGGTGGTCAAATGAAGTTAGATCATTATATAGAGTCAAATATTATAGAGTTCAGTGAGTTAGATGTTTTTTTATGAATTGGAGGTGCTGCGTGAGTAGCATAGATTGAGATTCATTCAAATATTTAAACTGATCAATCCCAGGTAAGGACAAAAAAAAATTGTCTGTGACTGGCACAGGGGCTGAAAATGTGAATAATTGAATTAATGTGTGAAGAATCATTGACCTTTTCCTCGAAAATGTAAAAAACAATGCCAAAAGTTATATTTAATTTGGTGAGCGCAAACTAAAAATGTTGCTGTTTTGGGTCACCATTGGATATCAAGTGCGCTGCTTGTCATATACTGATGACGATGCCGTTTTCTGATGCCAAGCCAGCTAGAACCTCTTTGTCACACTACCTGACCAGGTTTTTGCTGCTGAGGTCATTTCAGGTCAAGTTAGGTCAAGGTCAATTATATGTGTTTGTATGTCTGTGTGTGTCTGTGTGTATACTGATTACTGATGTGTGCACCGATTGTTTATGTGTCCATATTACATGAAATCATGATCTCTCATGATAGCTCATGAAAAAGCAGTCAAAAAATTCACAAAAAGTAAATTCCGCTTGCCTAAAACGCAATTATCTTAGATGACCTAGGTTGACCTTGACCTTGATCTTGACATTTGTACATCGTCGAACAACATGTTCCATGATAGGTGGGAGGTAAGACTGGCAAAAAAGGCCGAAATCAAGGTGTCAAAAGCTCACAAGGTCCATAGCCAACACAAGATGTTGAGAATTGGTCATTTGGGTCATGACATGACCTGAAAAACAAGGTCATTTCTCCGAAACCAAAAACCACAGAAACTTGAAATTTTCAGTGGACATCAAGAAAGGATAAAGGAGCAGCTATATGAAAAATCAGGCTTCTAGCTCTAAAAATGTTGAGTGTTGAGCAGAAAGACTACCTGAGGGGGGTGGCAACCACCTCCCCCCTCCCCCATGTGCGGGCGAGGGTTAAGTGACCACTGACCACACTGTGTTAGTTATTGCTGTGCACAGATTCTGGTTGTCTTAAAGAAGGTGTCACATTTCTTTTTTTTTGCAATCAAGGAGAGGCGCTATACCCATTACCCAGAGATGCTTTCTAATCAAACCAAACCAAACCTGTCTTAACACTCTCAACCTTACCTACAGCCTACAATGTAGGTAATCCCTACAAGTTACAACTTGCAACCTTAAACCTACCACCTAAAATCTAAACCTACAACCTAACAACCTACAGCGCCTCTCCTTGGTTGCATAAAACAAGTGTGATGCCTGCTTTACTACTAACCAGATTTGATGGTTATTATGTAGGTAGGTACGTTTTTTAACCCTCGCCCGCACATGCCATTTTCCCATCCTAGAACGCACATGGGGGGGGGGGTGGTTGCCACCCCCCCCCCCCGCGCCATTTCGTTCCTGTTGGAGATAGAGCTTAGCAGTAAAGACCAAAAAGATTCTTTGGGAAGAGACGAATCCAATGATACCCAGTTTTACCTTCTCAGGTCAGTCATTGACCTTCCAGGTCAGGTCAAACTAAAAAATGTTGCTGTTTTGGGTCACCGTTGGATATGAAGTGCGCTGCTTATCAAATACCGATGACGATGCTGTTTTCTGGTTCCAAGCCAGCTAGAACCTCTTTGTCACACTATCCGACCAGAATTTTGCTGCTGAGGTCATTTCAGGTCAAGTTAGGTCAAGGTCAATTATATGTGTTTGTATGTCTGTGTGTGTCTGTGTGTATACTGATGTGTGCACCGATTGTTTTTGGGTCCATATCACATGAAATCATGATCTGAGAAGCTTTTACCAAAAATGCAGTCAAAAAACTTCACAAAAAGTAAATTCAGCTTGCCTAAAACGCAATTATCTTAGATGACCTAGGTTGACCTTGACCCTGACCTTGACCCCTGTACATCGTCGAACAACATGTTCCATGATAGGTGGGAGGTAAGACTGGCAAAAAAGGCCGAAATCAGGGTGTCAAAAGCTCACAAGGCTCATGGCAAACGCAAGATGTTGAGAATTGGCCATTTGGGTCATGACATAACCTGAAAAACAAGGTCATATCTCCGAAACCAAAAATCACAGAAACTTGAAATTTTCAGTGGACATCAAGAAAGGATAGACGAGCAGCTATACGAAAAATCAGCCTTCTAGCTCTAAAAATGTTGAGTGCAGAGCAGAAAGACTGCCTGGGGGGGGGGGGGTGGCAACCACCCCCCCCCCCCATGTGCGGGCGAGGGTTAAAGAAAATGCTTTTAAAGAAAGCGTATACCCTACCACACATACACTGTCTTTCCTTACTCTGGTCATATCTTGATCTTCAGGTCCTGCTGGTACCGCACAGCAGCCTTGCAATGGCTGAGGACTGGCTGACGTCAGCGGTGAATGGCCTGTCTCTGGAGCAGGAGATGTCTGGTGGGGCTCGCTCGGACAGCCCCTCTCTCAGCTCCAACATCAGCCAGCTGCTGAAGAGCACACGGCGTGATCGAGCCGATTTGGAGGCGAGACTCGCCCAGCTGCGCGGCTTCATACAGCAGACTGATGAGGTGATGCGTGGCATCCTTGAGTCAGGTGATCCAGCTCTGGCTGCAAAGTACAGCCACCTTGCTGGCACAAGGCGCAGTCTGGAGCAGAATGCTGCCCACTTGCAGGAGCTCCTGCTCAAGGTCACAGAGTCTGAGGCACGGGCTCGCCAGCTCGCCGAGCGCGGACGACAGTTAGAAGCGGAGGAGGCGGGTAGTGAGACTGAGGCGCTGGCGGGCGCGGCCGGTGCCGGTCCGACCGCAAACGACCGGCCCGATCACGAGCAGAAGGTGGCCGTGGTACGCGGCAGACCCGGCCCGGGAGCCGCCCGCAAACGGGACGGTGGGGACCCGGCCGGCGACTCACTGCGCGCCGCCGTACTACACAACTGGGGCAACATGGAGCGCTCCGGCGCCGGCCGCCCGCGCACCTTCTCGGCGCAGGAAGAGCCGGCTGAGGACAGAGAGGCGGACGGGCCGGCCGCTGTGCCGATGGATCGTCTGCTGCGGGCTCTCCGCGGAGAGCCGGCGCGCTCTGCGGCGCCACCGGCCGGGCCGCTGCACGGTGCCGAGGCCGCGCTGCGGGACAAGGCCATGGAGCTGGACGCCACCCGCCAGAAACTGCAGCAGCTGCGGCAGCTGATGGCGGCCGTGCAGGACGCGCGCCTGTCGGGAGCCACCACCGCAGAGGCGCCGCCCGATCTGCGCGCGCTGCTCGGTGAAGTGGAGGCCGCTCTGGACGGCGCAGAGGGACTGGAGGAGGAGCCGGAGCGTGGAGACACCCGCGGCTGTGAGGATTACAACGGCGGTCGATCGAGCGGGCCGCACTCACTGCCGCCGACCGGCGTGATGCGGCCGATGGGCCGGGTGGCCCGAGGCACTCCGACTCGTGATCCGGCGGTGATGAGTGCCGGGCTGCGCCGGTCAGCAGGCAGAGAGGTGCCGCCGCCTCCCCGGCCGGCCAGTGCTGACCGGGTGGCACGCGCCGCCTCGTTGGAGCCGTCGTTCCTGATGGGTCGTCAAGTGCCGGCCGAGCGCCCACCGTCCCCTGATGGAGACATGCGCGCCCAGCTGCAGCACGTCACCGCCATGGTTCAGTCGCTCTCCCGACAGCCGTGGTCCCAGCACCACGCCTGGCCGGGAATGTACCACGCCGGGCACCCGACACCCCCGCCGCCTATTGTGCCGGGTCAGTATCCGCTGGCTGGGTGGTCATATGCGTCTCCTACACCGCCTCCGCCGCCGACCGCCACCCCCGACATGCAGCACCAGCAGACGCTGTCGGCGCTGGGACAGTGCTTCCAGCTGCTGCAGCGACAGCAGCAGCAGATCATGGAGATGCAGCGTCAGATGCAGACGACGGCAGCGGCGGTGGCGTCCGCCTCTCAGCCCGCGACGCCGGCGCCGCCGCCGCCCCCGCCACCTCAGTTCTTGGCGCCGGGCCTACTCCGAGTAGATGAACCGCCCACCATGGAGCTAGCTGACGGCTTCGGGCCGCAGTCACGCTCCATGCTGAACAACCAGGTGGCTCCGGGCTCGCGTGCGAACAACTACTGGGATAACTTCCGCAGTTACTCGCGTCAAAACCTGCTGTCTGCCGGTACGGAGGGAGAGCGAGAGAGCGAGCGTCCGCGGGGCGACAGTGAGAGCCAGGAGGAGCCCCGTGCCGAGGGATTCATGGCTCGTCCGCGCGCCAAGAAACAGAAAGTGAACAAGGAGAACCAGCAACTGGACCGCGGCGCCAGCAACACTCGCGCTGCCGCGGTGCCAGACCCGAGCCGACCGCGCGTGCACCGCGCCTCCACGCCGCAGAACAACCCGCAGGTGGACGCTATATACAGCTGTGTGACGGCGCTGATCGCACAGAACCAGGAGGAGCCGGAGTTTCTGATCAATCTGCTGCACGACTTGCAGCTGGTGCGCACGGAGTGCCAGCGCCGTCAGGTGCAGCTGGCCGTCCAGGCGATCGTCGTCGAGGAGCTGAGCGGCGCGCGTCACAAGCAGCGCAACCGGGCTGCCTCAGCGTCAGCGGCAGTGTCTGCTCCGCAGGCCTCGGCCGGACACCACCTGCTGGCTGCTGAGCGGGAGGAGATCAAATCTCACCTCGTCAACAAGCACACCAAGAATCTGTCGCACAGTCTGCGCCCGGAGGCGGCCGAGGCTGGTGGTCACTCGGATATCGAAGACACCACAACCAAGAACCTGGCTCCGCACAAGAACGCTGCCAATAAGAACACGGCTAAGCCAAAGACGTTCGAGCCGCCCAGCATGGGTCCTATGGGACTGGGCCCGCTGCCACTCGATGATTCGGAGCTGCAACTGGCGCGGCTGCTACACGAGATGAATGTTTTCCTGAACGACCACCAGTCGGCGCTGCTGTCGGCGCCGTTGCTCGCGCGCCTGGAGCGTCTTCTGCTGCGCGCGCTGTGTCAGGGCCACGCCGCGCCGCCGCCGGGACTCAACCAGCAGCTGGAGCAGGCCATGGTGCCGTTCATGGGCCACCCGGTGGCCGAGTCCGGAGGCCGTCTGGTGCAGGCCGTGCTGGAGCGGCTGGGCGCCCTGCTGCGCGCCAGGGAGCTGCCCCCCTCGCCGCCGGCCGCCGAGCTGCCGCCGCCGGCCGGCCTGGCGCCGCACGGCCTCGACTCTGAGTCTGAGGATGAGCAGCGACCGACCGACCTGGCCGACAAGAGACACGAACGACAGGGAACGGAGCCGAATGCACCGGGTAAGTGACACATCCCCGGAGTCGTGTGTTCTTGTGAGGGGCTCCCTTCTTTGGTAGGTTGCACCCTAGCTTAAGACCCTTCTGTTCTTTACCACCCTTGTCTTAGCTGAGTGAAGCTTTCGTGTGTTTTTCGAGGTTAGGTGTTTAGTGTGGTGGGTGTCCTGGGTCGGCAGCCTTTTGCGTCTGTTTTGTGCGACTTGACAACTGAACTGTCCCTGTTCTGACGTATACCGTTTTGTTACCGCCCTGTGCTCCTTACCATGCGAAGCTGTGGTGTCAATGAACTTACCGCCGTTCCCTCTACCCTGTGACAGCACTGCAACATCTACCGGCCGACGACGGGCCGCAGACCATCCCTGAACAGGAGGTGCCGACTCTGAACGGTCGGGAGGGGCCACAGGAGCGGCCGACGGGCGAGCCGGCCGACCCGTCTGCCCCCTACCGGCAGCTGGGCACTCCGCGGGACACACCCGAGCCGCCCGGGACGCACGGTCAGTGCCGACTGCTCTGTTCTCAGCCATTTCTGATAGAATTATCAATCATTTCCCTCATGCTTTGATTTGCTTATGTTGGTTAAGAGTTATATGTAAATAGATGTTGGTGAACAAACTTGTGTATTTCTGGCATATGCGACTGCGAGGCGTTACCAAGCCATACATTACCGTACTGGCCCGGCTGCTTGTATACCATGCCACATATCCCCTCCGTGATCTTATATCGTAGCATCATATTAACACAGTCAATTTAAAGCCATAGATTCAGCTGGCTCGATAGTTGTCACACGCTACTTTCTTTTCCCCGCAGAATCTGCCAACGTGGCCGAGCCAGATACCTAGGCCGGCGGAATCTCGGGTCCCTGTGGCCACCACAAGCACCGCACAGGCGTCATCCGCCAAGCGTCATCGGATATCCGTCAAGCCACCGTCGGCGTCGTCTTCTAGTTGAGTTCAGCGACGCTGCTCGCGTTCTTTGCCGTTATCGTTAAGTTTTGCCGTGCGCCTCGCGGGCCACTGGCAAGTGTTGGTATCTCAGTTGCGCGGATGGATCTGTGTCGTACGCACGTGCCTCAATGTCGTCAACTGCCGCCAGTTGTCCAGCTTTGGCCACGCTAAATAAGCGACGCTTTGGTTTATGGCTGGTGGCTGGCTCGCTGTTAGGTCATCGGTGCGTGAAAAGTGTTAGCTGTGATTGTTTCCGTTCACCGAGCTCAGTTTTTGAGCTTTTGGCTTCTGCTGCTTTCTGTAATATGATACATATTATGGCACATTAAGAATTAATAAAACTACAATAAAATTATGAAATGTCTATTTCATTGACTCTTGGAGCAACTTATTGGCTAACGATAGCGAAGTTTCTACGACGGTTGTTATTGGATGCCTTTTTTCGAGTGAATAACTCTGGCGTTTATGTTACGTGAATCGATGTTCTTTAAGTCTTAGCTGGTTCGTGGCCATATTTATCCATCAGCATTTATTCAGTTTTCATGTGTTTATCCTTATGTCGCTACTGTAAATAACACGGTCAGGATATTTTGCCGAACGAGTAGTTACTTTTCTGTGTGTCTCTTGAGAAATTGGTCATGGTGTAACACACGCACGCACCATGCGGCACCACATGGCTGCTGGTGACAGTGACACCCTTGTACGGCTGACCTTGCTGATGTCCCAGCTGGCCCGTGGCCAGTCTGGACGATCAGACACGACCTCCGGGCCATCCTCCTATCCATCGGCTGCTGCCCCCTGCCGGCGCCGGCCGCCCGCCGGCGACTTGGCACCGACCCCGACTCAGTGTCCCAAAATAGCCGCGGGCGAGGTGCGGGCTGCGTGGGCGCAGGTGGGCCATCGGCCTGGCCTCCTTCTGCCCCGGGCGGCGATCCACGCCGGCCCCCGCTCCGCAGGTCCCGGCTGACACGACCTGACCTGACCCGGCGGGCCTGGACTGGAGCTGACCCCGGCATCCATCGGCGACAGGTGAGAGGATCCTGAGGAGCCTGGCAGGCACTGGACGGCACACAGGCCAGGCCAAGCTGGCTGAACCGTAGGTGGCCGGTTTGGGGAGCCGGCGGGGCGGCGGTCAGAGGCGCCGACCGACCCGTGGGTGGTTCCGGGAGCATCGACACCTGATCGGACCGTCACCGGCGTCCGTCAGCCGTCGTCTCGTCAAGTGGCGAATAGAGCCACAAATAGAGTACGAAATTATGGTTTGGCCGGACTTACGCCTCCTCGCGATAGGTATATCCCGCTGGCGGGAGGAAAAATGGACATGCCTAAGAGCTGGACTTTTTGCACGCGTTCCCCGCCAGGGGGCGCCACTGAGGAAGCACCCTCTGACGTCACGATAAAACTGCGCGCACTGTGCGCACGGTTCTGTAAGCAAGTAATATAGTGGTGGTTTCGTGGTGGAAATTGGAATAAGTATTTTTACGTTGTAAAATTTCAAGCCGTTTTTGTGAAATTAATTAGTAAATGCATTTCAAAAGCATTTATTTAAAGTGTGAAAGGAGAATAATTAGAAGAACATGGATATTTTTGTTCCAATAGCTTATTATGTGAGACATGATCGGTACTAACGGGTACTTCTAAGAAGTAGTGAAGAAGTACCAAACAGCCTGCTCGGCTACGATCGTCAGCTGTCCTTTGGAGCTGGACTTCAACGCTGTAAAAAAAATATATGCTGAATTAATTTTTAGTTTCACCAAAATATAAGCAATTTATCATTTCTTTTTCACTTTTGTAATTATTGTTGAGTGAAGAGACATGTTGCACTTTCTGACAATATAAATTATTAATTAAAGATAACGAAATGCGACGGTAAGTATCTGCTACTAAATTATCACTTTAACCAAATACATAGAGAATCTTGCTACCATTGCTTATAAAACGTGCTTATCAATACACAAACGTTTTATTTCAGACAAGAAGGATTTATTTGCCTGAAGTCTTGCGTCATGTGCTACTGCTTTGATTCCAAAGACGCTCTCCGGGTCGGGGTAATTTAGTTCTTCATCGATCGATAAGATTTTGATTCCATTGATATCCAAATTGATAAGCTCGGCACCATGGAGTAAGGGCGTCCCCACAGGGGTGACGCAGGAAATATGAATGGCGTTTACACCGACAGTAGTTTCCCACAGCCGGCAATGGGAATCTCCTGTCGGTGTAAACGCCACTATAGTCTCATCCAACTCAAACACTGGGGAATATCCCCGCACTTTTGAGGACGGAAATCTATGGACCTGCTCGAAAAATAGTGGATAAAATACGGCGAGCTTTCAGTTTTATGGTTGGGTCTCCCTTCCGAGGCACATATTTACGGGGGATATTGGGTCATATTCCCCCGGCGTCCTGATGATCGGCGCCCAGCTCAACGTCGAAGGCGCCCTGATACGCGGCACTGCTATCTGTGAAGGTGCCCAGGTTGCTGCCGCTCGAATTTTGGTCGCCTACTTAACAAAACCTCCGTTGGTGCCATCTCAGTTTCCTCGAGGTCAGGCAACCTTCACACGCCGTTGGCTACCTTGGCTGGCCGGCGACTCGTTCCCCTCGTGGCGACGCTCTTGACATCCAGTCAAAAGTTGGAGTGGCTGGCGCCCCCAGTGGGGGCCGGGGAAGGGGCAGTGGGCCTCCACGTTGCTCTCTTCCCGAGCCTATGGTGACTTGGCTCAACTCTCCTCAATAGAATCTGGATTCTGCACGCTGTATTAACATGGGCGTAGACACCACTACGGACAATACGGACAGTGGGTATGACAATCAGTAGTGCTATTCATATAGAGGGTGTCATATATGAGCGGAGAGGCAACAGTACAGCTGAGCGGAGAGACAACATTAAAACAACAGTACAGCTGGCGTTGCATGGAGCTGCAGGCAACCGGACAGCGGAGGCTTGCGAAAAATAAGCAATTCGTCACTTCAACGTATAAACAATAGTAAAAGCAACATAAACACATATTCTCATGGTCGGACCCATGCACTAGCGGCTCACGGCGGGCACAGGAACGCAGTGCGGTAGCGGTACCGGATCACACGTCATGGGCGTTGTCTCAGCATAGGTTGTTATGAGCGGAGAGGCAACAGTACAGCTGAGCGGAGAGACAACATTAAAACAACAGTACAGCTGGCGTTGCATGGAGCTGCAGGCAACCGGACAGCGGAGGCTTGCGAAAAATAAGCAATTCGTCACTTCAACGTATAAACAATAGTAAAAGCAACATAAACACATATTCTCATGGTCGGACCCATGCACTAGCGGCTCACGGCGGGCACAGGCACGCAGTGCGGTAGCGGTACCGGATCACACGTCATGGGCGTTGTCTCAGCATAGGTTGTTATGAGCGGAGAGGCAACAGTACAGCTGAGCGGAGAGACAACATTAAAACAACAGTACAGCTGGCGTTGCATGGAGCTGCAGGCAACCGGACAGCGGAGGCTTGCGAAAAATAAGCAATTCGTCACTTCAACGTATAAACAATAGTAAAAGCAACATAAACACATATTCTCATGGTCGGACTCATGCACTAGCGGCTCACGGCGGGCACAGGCGCGCAGTGCGGTAGCGGTACCGGATCACACGTCATGGGCGTTGTCTTAGCATAGGTTGTTCGCAATCTAGTTGAAGCCTAAGAAGACGGCCAGTGGGGTCTCACTGCTGCTGAGGCGACCTCGGAGACGATGCGTCGCCCCTCCTGTCGGCGACCTGCGGTGAGCAGGACTCCAGATAGCTGGCTGGCACGTTGCCGACACTGCCAGACGCTGTCAGCAGGCCTCACTGCTGCAAGTGATGTGCAGATGGACGCCAGGTGACTTCGTCTGCAGGCGATTCCGGAGACCGCGGCCTCACCAGGCAGTACCACCTGCATCGCCATGTCGGTGTTTCTAGAAATGGAAAAATAACAGTATTGGTGAAGGACAAGCAATACAATGTATTCTGTTTTCCTCTCTTGCAGGTATACGTAATCTACAATTATCATTGTTCCTATCCCATTCAACTGAACCTGAAAATTCCATATTGGCACATTGTTTGACTAAATTTGTGTAGTTGGGAACAGGGGCGACGCCACAGTGCGACGACTGGAGGGGACATTGACCATTTTGGAGGGGACGAGGACCATTTCAAGTCGATTCTTTCCATGCAACGCCATAGGCGTAACGTTAAAATTTTAAAAAGTGGAGGGGACGAGATCCCCTCCGTCCCCCCACCCTGTGGCGACGCCCTTGGTTGGGAAGCAGATTGTTTGAAATACATGTTTGGCTGAACAGTGCGGAAAATATTTCATTGATCACTACAGCTGCAACAAAAATACTGAGACAGAAAACATTTGCGCTTACCTGGCTCCTTAGTCCTTAGTCAGTCCCGCACAACGGAAGTGGTACCATTTATTTATCGCAGCCGTCGCATCCGACCATCGGTGCTGCACTGATGCTGCTGCACTCCCCACATTCCCAGTAGGTACCTTAGGAGCGTCTTGGCTGTGAAAAGATTACATGAGTCATGGCGCATACATGAATAGTAAGATGTTTTATATGTTTAACATCGCATAGCAAAGACACAACAGCTGGGAGTCAAGTGTAAGCCAAAGTGTAAGCCCTGCCATGTTTTGCAGACTGGATTTTAAGCAAGAAAAGCTTTGCTAAAAATGACGCTTGACGAAGCCTCATCCTACTGGGCTGTCTGACATGTCTCCCTGTAAAAAGCATGTAACCCTTATATTGTATATATGATGAATATGTTAATAATGCAGAGAAAACACAGTATAAATTATACCCAACGTTTCTTAATCGACTTTGTCAAGGGTGTTTGAACAGCTTGAGATGAGTGAAATGTAAGGGTACCTAGGTACATCTGAAAATAAACTGAATCTGCGTTCAATAAACATTGATTTTGATAATACATTTCACAAATCAACTGCTAATAACAATCATACTAAAATAGCACGACAGATAACTAACAATCGCATGAAGAACTTCTTGATTCGCCTTGACATTGTCGTCCGATCGAATGTTGTCTGAAGTTACACATTTGTCTTTTCTGCGCAGCATTTGTGTTTGCCATTTACCGCACCAAATGTTCGCCAGCGGTGGTGACCTTTCCTTACCTGCTCACGAAACGTCACACACGACATGACGTCACCCGAAGACGTCATCAAAAAGTCCAGCTCTTAGGCGTGTCCGGAAAAATGCGGGAGCCTCCCGCATTTTGTAACGAGTAGTTCAAGACCCGTTGTTTCCATAGTTTTATTCGGTTCAATGCATTATGACTTTTGAAATTCAATGAAATATTGGCAGGGGTGGAGAATTAGGGGTTTA